ACTATTTATCTTTCCAGCAGGGGTTCGCAAACTATGATTTGTGGCACAAATACGGTCTGTGGTCTGTTTTTGTTTGACTGTCCCTTCAAGAACAGCCCTTTAGGGAACCAGCAGTTAGCATAATGGCTATGTCGCTGGACTCCCACGTAGTCGACTGCGGTTTGCGTCCCGGACCCAGTGGCTTAAAACTCACGCCGGGCGCGTGTGCGTGTGTGCCCAAGATCCCGAGAGGAGGATGGAGGAGAAGGGATTGCGGCGTGACCATCCCCTCTGGGGGGGTGATTTCTCGCTTTCTGTCTCTATGTCTCTCTCTGTCTGTCTGGCGAGCACACGCGCCCTATAGCGAAAATCTCTCAAAAAAAAAAAAAAAAGGAACAGCCCTTTACATTTTTAAAGAATGACATATGAAAAAAAGAACCACGCAACAGATATTTATTATCTAGTTCTTTATAGAAAAGGCATCGTTAGGACGCATGTAGTTTTTAAAACTCTCATGATAACCGCTCAGGTGACTTGGCCAGAGCAACAGGACAGTGAACCGTGGAAATCTGACACAGGCTTGGCACACAGTAGGTGCTCAGTTAGGATTCCGACCGGAATACAACACAGATATTTCTCCTTGTGGCTCTGCTTTGAGTCTGGGAGCTGGGAAGTGACGTATTGCCTTCTCTTAGTCTCCAGTCTATTTTGGTAGTAAAATTAGTAGGTATTTCTTGTTTGAGTGATACTCACTGTCTACGCAGAGTAGGTTTTGTTACTGCTAATACTTGCTTTTCCCCCTTGGGCAGGAAGATTACATTTTGCTGGAAAGCACAGCGAGAGAGTAATACCAACAGCGGCCCCTAGATGGCGCCATAGGCCTGAGAAATAGGTTCAGATAGTGTCAAGCAGGCAGTTGGGAGCACCTTGTGATTTCTGAATGTCAGGACAAACAGACATCGTTCCAGACGTGGTTCTACCACTCGCCTGCTATGTGACTGTCAGGAAACCACCTTGAGTCTCGATATCCTTATTTGCGAAATTGGAGTTGTAATCACGCCCACCTCAGAGGGATGCTGTGAACATTCCACTTGGAAAACCGAGGAATGCAGCGCAGCTGTGCCTTCATGCCAAGCCCAGAAGCCTCATCATGAGAGCTGTTTCTTGGGCACGACTCCAAAAGCACGATACTTTCATGGCCTTCTTGTCGCATAACAGTGAGGGCAGGGGGTGAGAGGGCGGCAGTGTGTGTGTGTGTGTATGTGTGTGTGTGTGTGTGTGTAGAGGATACACCGCCATTTGGACATATGCATAAAACACTTTTCAGAGGCTTCATTTCATCGTTTGCAAAACAGGAAGAATACACGAGCCTGGCCGTGCAGCGTTCTGAAGATGGAATGAGAATATACACGGAGTCTTCATAAGCTCGTGGAAAATTCAAATGAGAAAACTGTGTACAGACTTCACTTTATTTATTTATTTACTTATTGGCCACAAGATGAACTCGTCCTTTTTCCACAGACTTTTGAAGTCCCCTTGTATGAGCTGAGTATTTTGCAGCGTCTGGAACAAAGCAGCCCTTCGGTACCTGCCAGGTTGTGAATGGGCCGCTTGATGCTTTCGGAGAGTCTGTCCTCAAGGCGCCCTCCCCTCTTCTTTCCCTCCTTCTGCTTCTTACTTTAACCATCTTGACCCGTGAGATGTGGGTGCCGTGTTTTCATCTCTGGTGCAGCCCTCTCTCCCGAGTTTACATCCTCTACTTCATGCCCCTCAGGCACCCGAACTCAAAATGTTTAGAAGATACTCCTCACCTTCCTACCATGAGCTCGCTTTCTTTCCTCTTTTCCTGATCCATTAAAGGCGGCGCCCTCCAGCGTTCCTGATACTCTTGTCCCCTCCCCCCAATTTGTAATCCATCACACCAAGTTTCTTTGACTCTATGTTTTTTTAAAAAAGGTGTTTTTTTTTTTTTTTTTAATTTATTTCTTCATGAGCAAGACAGAGGGAGGGAGGGAAGGAGAGAAAGAGAGAGAGCCCCCGAGGGTCTTGACACAGTGAGCCATCTGGAGCCTCCGTCAGCCCTGGATTGTGGGCATGTGCCCGGCGTACTCTGGGAGGTCTCTGGACACAAATCCAGAACCTTTCCATGTGGGTCAGTCATGCAGGGCATTGCATTTTACCAGGGTGCCACCACCTGGCCTGATGCTACACTGTAAGTACCCTTTCAATGCGGCTCTTCTCCCCATGACCCCGCCACAGGCTCATTTTAGCTCCCAGCTCCCTGCCTGGCAGCCACACCATAGCCACTTTTTTTCTGAAAACAAAACTGATTATTCCCATCCTTCAAATCCTTCTGTGGCTCCCTATCACCAGTAAGATGAAGTTCAGATTTCATAGCATGAAATCTAGGTGCCAATAAGGCACCTAAAAATCTGGACTCTGCCTTCCTCCCCTGCCGCCCACCCGTCTCTCTCTATCCTGTACTTCCAGTATGAAATACAGCCCTGCTCAGGACCAGCAGTTAGCGTAATGGCTATGACGCTGGACTGCCATGTAGTTGACCACGGTTCGCGTCCCGGATCCGGTGGCTTAAAACTCACCCTGGGTTCGTGTGCGTGTGTGCCCAAGATCCCGAAAGGAGAATGGAGGAGAAGGGATTGCGGCGTGGCCATCCCCACTGTTGGGTGATTTCTCACTTTCTGTCTCTCTGGCGAGCGCACACGCCCTATAGCAAAACAAACAAACAAACAACAAAACAAAACAAATCTCAAAAAAAAAAAAAATAGTCCTGCTGGACTCCGGTTTGTTTTCTTAAATGACAAATCAAGTTTTATTTTTTGCCTTGCTTCTAGGCCTTTGCACATGCTGTTTCCCCTGCCTGGAACAGTCTTCCCTCCCTCTTTATCTGCCCACCCTTCTCTCCCTGGCCCAGTCCTGCTCATCCACAGGCATCATCACCTCCCCCGAAAGCCTTTCCTGTCAGCTCCAGTATAACGCAGGGCTCCCTCCCCAAGTCTTGGGCCCTCCTCATCCTTGCTTTCATTCGGCTCCACTGCACTGATTTTCTAGGGTAATATAGTGACAGCTGCTGTGGTCTCCTGACACTTGAGATGTCTCTTTGCTGAGTCCTCACCCCTTGTCCAGTGGAATGTCAACTGTCACTAAATTTAGGGAGCTCATCTCATAGCTGTCTCTCCAGCTTTGACTTCCCGCTTCCACTGAATTGTTGTGTTCAGGTTTAGAGTTCCCATCTCCTTTCTTTGGCCCAAGCAGACCCAATGCACAACACAGCTCTTCTTCATGTCCTCGAAACACGGCTCATGGAGGACGCTTGGGTGCGCAGCAGGAACTACGGGAGGTCTGGGAGGGCGTGCAGGGCTTGGTTTGCATCATAGTTCCTGCCAGTCCTGCAGCCAGCCTGGCCCAGGAACTGTTCCCTGGTTGGTTTCTCCCAAGGTCTCTTCTCTCATATTACTCAGCCCTTTCCTTCCTCCTCTTCCTCCTTCCTTTTCTTCTTTTTTTTCTCGGCCCTCCTCTTGTAATCTCTTTCTCTCCATCTCTAACAGAGACACAGTCTCCTTGTGCACAGTATCTTGCATTTACAGCCCAGTTATCTTTTCTAGGTAACACGTTACCCAGGGCATCAACGAGGAGAGATATGTGACGTTACATAACCCCTCTGCCCTTCCATCACATTTTTAGAATCTTTGTTTATTTCTTCTGAGAGAAAGAGATAAAGAGGCTTTCAACGGGGTCCTCATGCCATGATCCACCCTCAGCCAACACACACACCCACCCACACACACCCAGCATGTACAAGGAGGCCCTGGGACTTGAACCCAAGACCTTCCCCTGTGGGTCCTGCACTGCAAGCACTGCATTAATGCTGTGCCACCATCTGGACCCCTCCTCACATCTCGACTTGTCCATCTCCACATAAACCCCGGAAGGACAGGGACCTCGTCTGCCTTGGTCATTGCTATACCCTCTGCATCAGGAACTCGGTTGGGCATATCAGGCTCGCAATAAATGTCTGTTGAATGATTAAGTGACTGAATAAGTGAATGGAGGAGTGAGATGTTGCTTAGATTGACTAATCCAGTTCAACCCTCCTTCCCACTTTTGGGTTGTCAGGGTGAGAGGTTGAAGCCCAGCCTCTGTGCAGTCTTTGGTGAACGGGACATAACAGCAAATCAAGCCCAGTTATGCAGTTGTTAATTTAGCTTGGCCATCACCAAGAGAGTTAAAATGCCTACAGTTTCCACAATTTAGTGAGCATATAGATAAACATAGGGTCAAGATGAGAACAGAGGCTAAAAGGCAGTGAGCCCACATGCATTTTTGAGATGGCAGAAAGATAAACTTCCTTCTGCAATTAAAACCACTGGAAAATATATGAGGACTCTGAAGACTGAGATTTTCTTGTACACCAAAGTCTTGTTGGGGAATGCTTATCCATTTACCCATCCACTCATCCACCCAGCCAAGGCAGTGCATATAATATTGAGAAACATTCTTTCAATGATGTGAAACGGGATCATGTACTTTTTGGTTTTTGGGTTTTTTTTTTTTTTTGAGATTTTTGCCTTAAGGCACATACACTTGCTGGGGAGAGAGACAGAGACAATGAGAGGGAAATTGAGAAATAACTCCCCCGGGAGGATGGCCACACCACAATCCCTTCTCTTCCATTCTCCCCCCGGGATCTTGGGCACACATGCACACACACCTGGCTTGTGTTTCAAGCCACTGGGTCCAGGACTCGAACTATCGTTGGCCACGTGTGAGTCCAGCAACATAACTGCTACATCATCTTCTGGCCTCAATATCAGTACATACTCAACTAAGTTTTTGTGAGCTTTAAACACTATACAGGCAAAACACTTAGCACTGGGCCTGTTGAATAACAAAAAGTCAATAAATGGTCATTGCTGTTATTAGGATCAGAATACCACCATGAATTTTATGCCAATAACTGTTTTCCACCCAGATATCAAACATTCACCTTAAGTTTATTATCCAGAATTTGAAGAAGAGGAATCGGGTGAAGGAGTCTGGAGCAGATAAAGTCAGGCCAGACCAATGAGGAACAGACTGGGAAGTTGGGGCTGAGGTGTGGAATTGAGGCATGGGCCTCCTGGGAATATCTCCCTCAAGGATGTTGCCAGAAGTCTGTCTCCAGATGACCCTATAGTTTCATCTGAGCATCCATGGGAATAGGCCACAAGCTGGAACAAGGCAGAATCTGGGAACATGGTGGTGGCTGGATTTTCCACTGGGACAGCTGGTCAACCCAGGCCCAGGCTACGTCAGGGCACTGTGGGGCCGGATGGGTATGTTGACCCGGTTCTGCAGCCAGCTGATGTAGTCCTCTTGAGGCATATGGATGATATGTTCTCGTACAAACTGTGAGGCAAATACAGAGGCCATCTCAGAATCTGGTTTGAAAGCAAGACTCTGCCCTCTCCCCTTCCCTTTAAGGCCCCTAAAGATTTGCAATTGAGACTACCATGCCTCTGACTCTTCATGCCTGGAGCATAAGGCTGCAGTGATCCTTTTGGAAAAAAAGCCTTATCTCCATTTTCCTGGTTCAGC